AAGCTCCGCTACTGTAAAGAGGTAAGACGGCGCTTTCGATTTGTGTTCAAGCTAGCGATAAAAAAGAAAACCACCCCACGATTTTCTCTATCCTCCTACGACCGGTTAGTTATAATCCTGCTTATCGCTAGTTTTTCACATTTGCTATCGATCCGAGACTATGCATGGCACCGGCTTTATTGATTTTTTCCAATCTCCTAGTTTCGTGCCGATCTTCCGTTTCTCGTATCAACGCACAAACCCCTTCGTTATTTTGCTCTATCAAAAGTGGATTTCATTCACGTTCTCCTTCGTACGTTGAATAGATCGGTTGATAGTTGACATGTGAACACCTTTGTGTTACGTAGAATATATGCACATTCACTTTGTTATTATTTCTTTGATCTATGAATGTATAATGTAGTGACACGTTCTTGGAAAGAAGTTTTCTTTGAAAACTTTAAAACTTTGAACTTTGAACTTTGAAGATGTATTTTCGAATACTTTCGAATACATTTTGCGTCTCGGCGAAAACTTTTTTTACCAGGGGTAAAACAACATATATTATATACTATTACATTATATATTACATTATTACACGTTATGTTCTTTTTCACAATTAGACTGCGGATTTTTATGTACAGACAAGAGATTAGAGAGTGCAGAAATATATGAAATATTGAAAATATTTATTACAATATCCGTCCCTCAGTCTAATTGTAAAAATAATTAAGAGATAAATCCCGCAAATCGACGTAAGTTTTCTCTGCAATTTGAAATGTTGCCACATTGTCCAAGCCGATAAAGTATCAGGTCGTTCTGAAAGCATCTGGAAAGCAATTAAATATGTCGCTAATCAGCTTCTGAAGTTGCCAAAGACGTTCTTCTCCATTGACCCGAGTGTTAAACTCTTCACTATAAATTCACCGATCTTTGCACTTTGAAATAATTATCTCCTACGTGGCACCGTTCCAAATAGTCGTAAATCGGCAGTGTCGCGTGACAACATCTTTATCACAGCATCCACGTCAATACGAACCAGATAATTTTTAACCTCCCGCGTTGTATTAAATCAGTTGTTCCCTGATTAGGAAAATCAATTACGAAAACTCTGGACGTATTTACACTCGCAAGTTTATATTTTTATTTCTTCCATTTGCGTGTCGATTCTTTCGGCAACAGGAGACAAATGGAATTAGTGTGATTGATTGCCGGTCTTTGAAAAGCTTTGGACCATGTTCTTTCATACCCTATCTTGATCGATCGTGATTAAACAACGCGTTTGATACTCGATATCAAGAGCTCTCTCATTTCTTTGGAATTCTATTGAATATTTAACATTTTATCGAAAAGATCGCGAACTTGTATCTTGTGGAAATTAATTTCAATGTTCCGAGTGAAAAATCTACATAATTTTCGTTGAGAAAGCCATCGAAAAACATTTCAATTTAGATAAATTTCACGGAGTTTACTTTGCCATGGTTGAGCCACGATTACTTTTAAAAGTTTGGACTTTCATTTTTTACTTTCAGTTTTTCTCTCTTATAGAAGGTAATTCTTTCAGGCCATTTATCTCGAGTCGGATCATTTTCTAAAAGATTATGATGTTTTCAAACGAAAGATATTCTTGTTTCTCTCTCGCAGAATTTCCTACTGCAAACGTTTCAAGTATTCTCAAGTACGAGCATTAATTTCTCATTGAAAGCTTTTCAAGAAAAGCTCTTCTTTATCGATCGGATTAATGTTATTAATATTCGTTATCGATCGGATTAATGTTATTAATATTAATATTCGTTAAGAATGGCATTTCACATTGAACTTCAACAGCTAATTCAGAGCAGAAACGGGTAATAGCGAACATAGTCATGTCCAATAGATTTAGATAAACGTTATCATTATTCCCGAAAGATCTTATCACTGTTTGTTCGCGCTTTGTCAGACGACAGTAATAACACGTGACATCATATTTGCACGAGAATTTACGAAATAGCTAACTGCATGGAGTGCAATCGCTTCTCGTCACTGGTGCATGCATCACAGTTTTTCATATGATGAAAAATGTGTTTCAATCAATTATACAAATCTTTGTTTAGTTAATAGTAACACAAAATTTCATTTCATTTCTTTCTTGATATTTACATTTCTAACCATTTATTCTGACACACTCAGAAGATTTCTAAATTTATGTCATTTTAAGTTAATATCTGTTGTTTGATATTCAGTTTGTATGTTTCTCTCGATTGTTGGTTTTAATATGTAGAACGACTTGTCGTTTTACGTGTGAGTTTTTGCACGGGTTTCACGATAGTTACGCATGAACGCTGGTGCATCGGTGTCTATCGAACATGAAAAAAAGAAAAAGATAGACGAGCAAAACGAGATCTAGTAGAATGCAAAATAATCTTCCATTCGAAACTGCAGCTACCTCTCTCAAGTTGTTGCTCGAAATCCAGTGTTTCTCAAACTTCGTTCTACAATTGCCCTTGTTCATCCTCACGATATTGTGTAAAAAATATTGTAAATATTTTTAAGAAATTCCATGTATTCAATCGAGAATTGATTTTCTACTGAGAACCGGCTGTTCCTAAAATTTTGATACGCGTGTATTCTAAGCTAACCTTAGAAACATTGGAAGCGTTATTCTAAAATATAATATAAATTGAAAATTCATAAAGATCATGGATATTATTAGATCGTAAAATATTGTTCATGCCTTGTTCAAAAGATGTAAATAACAAAAATATAATAATTTATCGGTTAATCATATTAAGAGTTTATCATACACTCATTTTCAGATTATCAACCATCGATAAATTCCATTGAATCAGCCGACTATTTCACAAGTACTATTACTTTATGAAAGATATTTCAAAAATATTTCACATCTAATCAGTGGAATCATTGGACACACTTTTAATATAATATAAAGCAGAATTGTTTGATCAAAAGTGAATTGATTATTAATTCTATCATTTTACTCATTATCGTTTACATTAAAGATCAATCGAATCTCACGTACATGTCATCAAGTTCAATTATTCGACGCAAAGTTCAAGATAAAATTTTAAGATTCAAGTCGAAGCTTGAATAAATCTGTTTTCTTTTTTTTTAAGGTCTTCCTGGACCTGTAAGAGTACACGATATTCTTTCAATCTCTCGATATTATATTAAAACAGCTTCTCGAAATACTCACAAAATACACAAAAAGGAAATCAAAAAGAAGTTCAAGATCGAACGCGTACAAAACGCAACGAAATAGTACGCGCAAAGGTTCAAGATCGAACTGCAAGATTCGCGGAGAAGTTTCAAGTTATTGAAACGAAATCGGCTTATCTCGCTCTATCGATGGAAGGGCCGCGAAAGTTTGAGAAACGCTGGTCCGCGGGCGTGTAGCACGCCGGTGTCGATTTGCATAGAATGTGGCGTTGCAAAATTCGTGTGGCGGTGTGCTTAGCCGCAAAGCCCCTCCGGGTCCCGTACGGCAGAAGCAATAACGCTGAGCAACGTCTCTTCAGGAACCGATCGTTATCGAGAAAGCGGACGACGAGGAGGCCGCGGCGATTTGCCAGCCGAGCCCGAAGCCAGTCGAACACGAAGAGCACGAGGAAAAGGAAGCGACGATGAACGGGAAGATCGAGCCGTACGAGCCACCGACACGAAACGCCATCGAGGAGTCGATCGACGTGCACGATGCACCTGAGACCGAGCAGCCGGCCGCCAGCGTCCCTCTGGCTGAAAGACCGACGACCTTGACCCTCTGCAAACAGGAAATCGCCAAGGTGGACACGATGAGCCTGCTTAGCCCCGTATCGCCCATCTCTAAACAGGTAAACCGACGCCCCGATATATTCTTACTACTCTTGTTTCGGTGACCCGGATCGATTCTATATCAGAAGATGAATCGATTTGTATAATTTTTGAGTTACATAGTGAGCTAATTTTCTCAATCTTATTTTTTAAATTAGTAATTTTGTCCAGGATTAGGACCAATGCAATTTAATTTTCAGGTACCGTGGAGTGTTTTAATTTTTTTGTACTGTTTTGCATTTTTTCAGGACGTACACATTAATGCAATTGCTTTTAGAATTTTTTATTATTAACGTACAAAGCAAGGACGATTTGAAAAATCCCTTTTGCTAGGGAAAATGACGATTTTGTTGGTTCTCTTGATTACAAATTTATTTAATTCATTGCAGTTATCCAAATGTATACTCTAATAACGTAAAAAATACTACAACGAACACTTTGAAGATTCATATTTCTAATTTATAATATTTCCCAGGAATTGTACTCGATCAAAATTAATTAAGACACACATAGAAACGTAGTAATATTTAATTTGGACTTTCTTCCGGCAGATTTTGCCACTGAATTTATCGAGCGACGAGGAAATAGTAGCCGGCCTGGCATTTCCTCTGGGACCACCGACCAGCGTGGAACCTCCAAAAGAGAAACCACCGCCGCCCCCGGTGGACATCAGCGACGAGGAAAATCTTCCAGCGGAACCTCTGAAGAGGTTGAACTCCACTCGCAGAATAAAGAAGGAATTACGTTCGAGGCGCTCCGATTTCCTTGGAATCGAAGGGGTACGTTGCGTTTTTGAACGACGTATGAAACGAAACTTTCCCGATCCCGATTTCCTCTGCTTCACGTACATTGAGATACACATTCGATGCGAAAAAAGAAGAAAAAAAGAAACACGCGAGACGAGTCGCCGAAGATTCTTTCCACGGCGAACGATGTCGACGCTGTACGCGTCGTAACTTTCGTTTCTTCTCACGGTTTTCCACCTCCTTCTCGATGGCTTTCACTTGTTTCCGGAAGCTAGTGTGTTCCACGAACGTTGGCGTTTAACGTTGCGAAAGATCATATCGCGGGCGTAACATCGTTTAATGATATTAATTGGAGCACGTGAATGGATTTACGTAACTCACGATCGCAATTATCCATGTCGGCCCGTCTTGATGAGATTCGCATGCTCGTTCGTTGACCGCGACGTAGCAGAGCCTCTCGATGGCTTCAACCCTTTCTTGCTCAATGGAAAATTGAATCGTTTGAACCGTTAGTTCCTGAAATTTAATTTTTTAATCGTTTAACGACCGTTTAACGATTTTTTTTCTTCGTTCGTAAATTCGTTGAAAAGTTCTTTTCATCGCTAGTAATTAAAGTAGGAATTATATTTTAACATGAAAAATAAATAAGATTGAAAATCTTGAAATCATTGAAATCTTCTCTCCACTTTAATTCCTTTGACTCATTCATCTATTATTTTTGAATTTCCTTCACTGTAATTTATTTATCAGTTTCTTTCTTCTAGTTTAGTTCTTATATAATTGCAACGTTGATATCTATAATTACGCAGGAATAATTTGTCAGTAATTCAAGCTTACTATTCTTGACGATCCTGCAAACTGTAAGAAATAATTCCGATCCCATCTGTTATAAATTCCGAATCTATTTTCAACAGGTAAACGATGACGAATTAGAACGCGAGCTGACCCTAACAAAACCGCCAGATATGGCTGCGATCCTAGCCGAGGAAAGACGCATCGAGCAGCTTCATCGTCGCTCGTACGACACGGACAGCAACTACGAGCAAGACTCCAGCCACGAAAGAGACTCAGGGGTGGAATTGGGCCACGTCGAGGATTGGACGAAGCAACCGGTTAGTCCCGACATGTCTCAACACAGTCGTCAAAGCAGCGAGCCATTCGGCGCCAGCGTGACGTCTTCGGAAGAAGACGAGATTACGAAGAAGGAAAGGGAGATCATCGAGGTCCTCGAAAAAGAGGAGCAGTGGCGGTACGGCAACAATCGTGAGCTGAACAGGTAGGAGGGAATTATCTGGGGGAAATTGGTGGAGAATGTTGGGTGTATTGCAACCAAGAAGGGGGTGTGTTTGAGTAAAATCGATTGTGGTAGAGAAATTTGTAAATTTTCCCCTCTTCCTCTTTTACTTCGAGTATTTTCCGGCTTGATTTTAACGCTCGTCTCTAAACTTCACCGGCTTTCTCTCTATATAATTTCAGGTAGAAAGGATGTTCTTACTTTCGTTGAATTTTTATCGGAACGCTTGAGGTTTCTCCCTTTTTTTTTAACGTCTCTGTTGAATGTTTGCACGAAGATATTCTTGTTGTAATCTTTTCTTATCGTTGGAAGCATGCCAGTGGAACCGAAGACGCCAATGTTGCTTAGCATAGGATACTATTAATATTTATTTCTTTATCAATTACAAGGGAAATTTACTGTAGGAAACTTTAGAAATGATAAGGTTTTATACACTGCACGAGCGTCTTTGGTGAACACTACACGATGGCGCATAAACAAAATTTGGTAGCTCAGTGGTTTAATTTAAGAGACAGAATTCGCAAATATAACGATTTACTGTCTCGTAGGATTTTTTTAAAAATTGTTTCCAATGGATTTCGACTTTAGTGAAGTGTGAAGTCCGATTTTTTGCTTTGAATATTAAACATTTTTAATTGTATCACGTTCTAAAATCTAAACTAAGACGATTAATTTTCCATTCATTTTTAACATATCCAAACTCATCGTTAAAAAAAAAAAAGGTTCTCAACTATCTCAGTCGTTGACTATTTCAATATCGACCAACTAAAATCCTTTGCTACTAAATTCTTAGGCCAACGTACGACGTATCAATACATCTAAGCGTGTCTTTTATATAAATACATATAATGGAACTACAATACAATAAACTTGTGTATCTCGGGATCAATGTACAAAAACGGTGATGAATAAAATAAAAACACTTTCATGTTGAACACACTGATGGTCTTTTCCTACTGCTTGACTATCTGCTCTGCCGCTATATCCTGTACGACTCTCTCTCTCTCTCTCTCTCTCTCTCTATCTCTCTGTACAAGTAGACACAAAAGCACGAACACAAGGTCGACTTAAGCTTAAAGTCGAGTAACCGAGAAATTCATGACGACACACAGTGACTTGGGCGAGAAATTGGCGCACAAGCTGCGCGAGCTCGAAGAAGAGAAGATGCAGCTGGAGCGGGAACGCGCCCAGGAAGCGGCTTTACGTCGGCAGGAGGAAACGCTGCGGAAGAACGAGGACAACATACGAAAGCAGGAAGAGACTTTGCGGAAGCAACAGCAGGAAGAGACGGCCAGGCAACAGGAAGCGGCGCGAGCCGAGGCTGAGGCGAAACACGCTGAGGAGAAAAGGCAAGAAGAGGAGCTGAGGGCGCAGGCGGAACAGCTGAGGATTCAGAACGAGATCGAAGAAGAAAAAAGGGTGGCTGATGCTCGTCGCATTGAAGAGAAACGTATTAGAGCAATGGAGAATCAAATTCGAGAACAGGAGGTATGAATCTTCCTTTTGTTTTTCTCCCTCAGTTTTTATATATATATGTTCTTGTATTTTTTATCGTGTGGGTGCGGATGCTTTGGAACACTGTGTCGAGTTTGGGTTACGTTTGTGGCAACAGGCAGTGATGTTTTCAATTTTCTTTTCTTTAAGAGTACCTTGCAATAATTTTTGAGTGTTGAAATCTCATCTGACTCGAGCGGGAGAAGGAAGATTGAAAGAGAAAGATATTTGTTCAAGAGGACGAAATATTACAACGTAATCAGTTGTTCGCAATTTTTAATCGAATAATATTTTGTATTTCTTTTATTGTTAGAAATCGTGATGCTTGAGTTAGATGAGCTGTTTAGTGAATTAAAACGTTTGGAATTGATTAACTTCAAAACACGTTTCTGTTCGGACTAGAATAGATCTCCTTTCTAAATTATAGACCTAGTTACATTTGAGGAAAACGAATATTTCTTATCGAAGAAGAGAATAATTTTCACTGTAAAGAAAGGCCAACTATTCTCATGAAATCACTAAGTAACTGCATGCTGTAAATTAAGTATATCGCACTGTAAACGTTAACGGGAGTATCGTTGATAATGATTCGCAGAACACGTCATTGGTTGGTGCTGGTTTGAACGATGAAGAAGACGAGTTTGCTTCCGGGGTAAGGGAAACAGTATCTTTTGTAACTTTTGCCGTATTCTCTTGATGCTTGCTTCTAACAAAAGAAAAAAAAAAAAGAAAAAAAAGAGGCAACCTAGCGAAAAATTGTCAGATTTGATTTTTCCAAGGTTCACGAAGCAAAGAGATAGAAATAGAAATCTTTGTTGAAATAGACCGAGAAAATTTTCATTGATCAAGACGATCGAAATAATAATTAATCGCAATCGTAATACGTGTCTGAACAGGAAGTCCTGAGAGTGGAAAGGGAATTGCTGCAGCTAGAACAGGAGGAATTGAAGCGCCAGCGAAACAATTTGGCGTATCGCGAACAAAAGCAGCTGAAATTGGCAGAACAGTTGCAGGAACAGTGGAAGTCCTTGCAAGATGTTGCGCATACATCTGCGAGCAACATCCAACAGTTCAAGAGCCAACCACCACTGAATTACAGATCGTCGATGCCGAATCTTCAGCTTCAGGACGTGCAAAGAAGAAGACCACCGCCTCCACCCATACCGCCAGCTAAACCGCTACGTTTGATTGAACAGAGGCAACGAGATGTTACCATCAGGTAAATGTAATTTCTAATTTAATTCTAACGTGTTTCGTTAAAGAAATGACTCGTGAAAATGTATGTATTATTATGTAAAATATTTCAAAATTATTGGTAAAGTTTGACACCGGTCAGTGTGTAAAAAATGTATAAAATGTGTAAAATTTATGAGACTCGCAATATACTGTAATATATCGTTATAATATTATTTTATATAAGATATACATCATGTTGGATTCGCAAGAATTTTACGCAGTTCGAATTGCAACAGTAGAGCGTTGTGCTTCAAATAAACACTAGCCAAGAGGAAATGCAAATTAAAGACAGCATATAGCACTACGAATCGTGTCACTTAATTTCCTGCAGAAACTTTCCGCTTTGTTGCGTCTGATGTAACGTTTTCCGTCTGGGCGACACGTCGTTGCAATCTCTGAATGCAGAACAGTCATTCGTAATCTTTGGTCAGTTGGTATCGCTCGTGCTTTCCCAATGAACCATCAAAAATCTCACGAATAATCAAACGAGAACTGAACAGATTGAAATTTGAACATTGGAAATGTGCAATTTAAACTTGTGCGACGTCCTCTGCGAATTTCAAGTAACGAAAGGCAACGATAGAAAACGAAGATAGCTTAGGCGGATAACTTTTCTTTTTTTTTTTGTGAAATGCACAGGAGCAGCAGAATTCCGTCGGCAGATTCGATTCCGCAGCAAGTGGACGCTTCTTTGCGGCATAGTACGTCGGTTACGACGCTGAGCCACGCTGGTCAACAGATGAGCAGGCAAACGTTGCAAGCTCTCAGCGCAGTTCCTCGGCCACGGATCGTTCAGAGCGATCAATGGGTCCAACGAAGGAAGAGCGACGTGCCACGAGGAGCTCACGATTTGAATTACCAGCACTGGCTCATTCAGGTAACAATTACTTCGGATATATCTCGCGAAAAACGATAAATATAACACTATAATTTGTAACGAGTGGTGGCCTTACGTTAACGTCATGTGATTGTAAATTTTCTTGCTCCTGTTGAAACGAATCTCGATCGTTGCAGTGTTGATATATTAATATTCGAACGAGTCCGTATTCGTCGATTCTCTGGCTTTTATGTTGACTTATGATGGTACGAGATAATTGAAGAAAGAAAATCTGTACAAATTTACAAAAGTGTAAGGAAATTATACTTACGCACGGGAGTAAAGTAATAGATTCATATTCTTGTCGATTTTCTTATTCCTACATTACTTGGTAGCTAAAAAAGGGAAACATTAGTTTGAATAGAGTATTCTGAATGATTCGAATAGAACCGAGGGAATAGCGTGTTTCACTGTGAATGTGATGTGCACAGGAAGCGGAACAGAGAAGAATTAGCGAGAAGAATCAGCGATCGCCAGCGCGGAAATCACAAATGCACGTAACAGGAACGTCGATTCCATACGTTACGGCTCCTACGAGGTCGGACAGTAAACCGTTGCCTGACTCTATCATACAGACTCTCACGCAAAGAGTACAGAACAGAGCGCAGGAGAAGCCACTACCACCAAGGAAAAGGTCGATGTTAAATTAGAAAACATTTCATGTGCAGACATTGTCTGTTGTAGGGAAGCGTTTGTCTTCAACTTATTTGCGATTTTTATAGATTAGAGCATAGTACCAGCCAGGAACATCTCTCCGCGTTGCAGCATCAACCGCAGCAACACGTTATGCACCCGCAGAAATCTCAACAACCACCTGCGATGAATAGTGAGAATCAGGAGAAAATGTTGAGTGTCAGTGGGAAAAAGAAGTGTTCGCATTGTGGAGATGAATTAGGTAGGAAATGTGCTAGAAATATGTCACTTTCACTTTGAAAAATTATTTAAAAGTAGAGAGAGCGATTTTCTTGCTGGAAAATTTTACAGAGTCAAACGATTGTCAAACTTTCTTTTTGCAATTTGAATTAGTATAGTAACTTGAAAATTAAAGAGCTTCAGAAAGTTACGATTTTTCGTATTTTTGGAGTTTTGTTCAACTTTAAATGGATAGTATATCGTCAGAATATATATTTTGAAATCTTAACTTTTTATTCTGACACGAAGCGTCATGAATAATATGTCTAGCACTATAATTAGTAATGTGCTTGATTTTCAAATTCTTGCTTCTAACTCAGTTTAAAATCGTCTTCCACGCTAAATTAAATTGCTTTGAACATGAAATGAGGTGGCTAATTTTGGATTACCAGGTCGAGGCGCCGCGATGATCATCGAAAGTTTGCGGCTGTTCTATCACATGGAATGTTTCAAATGCTGCGTGTGTCATGTTCGGCTCGGTGACGGATTAATGGGAACAGACGTGCGCGTTAGGAATCAAAAGCTTCACTGCCATAACTGCTACTCCAGTGACGATGGTATCCGCATTTAGCTCGACGTTATTTATATCTACGATTAAAATTACGTTGAACGTCAATGATTTCCAAGCAACGATTTTTCTCCCGTTGATCGGGATATAATAAAACAAAATCTTAACTTTGCAGAGACGTTCGTAACTTTGAAAAACGAGAAAGTACATTCAACGATTAAGTACATTTAACATTATAATTAATTCATTTTATAATTCGTTATAATTTTTATTTATGAAAATGATGTTTTTGATACGACCAATCTTTTCTCTTTCTAGACTATGTAATTAATTATTCGGATTTTTATATAAGAAAAAAGTTTACTTTCTTTGTTTACTCTCTTTACAATACACTCTTCTGCAATGAAAATTATGATGTTTCAGGTGTCAAGTTCAGTTGCGTGTGAAACCAAAATAGAGCGGGAGCTAATGGGACTACATTGACTAACTTGAATATAGCATCACACGGCTATATTTTATAAGTTATAGTTTAACCGCTTAGCTACCGACGACACCAACGAAAACTATACCCCTCTTTTCTGTACATAAAACTCTGGACGTGGTTGCTCCGTCTTGCGTAAGCTATTCCCTCGTGCGCCTTTATTTAAAAGATACAAAATGGAATCAAGATTTTATTTTCACGTAACGCCGATTTCTTTTCAATCGACTAACCGTACAGGTAGGACGTGCAGGTAGCAACATGTAAATAAACGTGTATTTATGTAATTAGCATAACGATAGGGAAGAGAATCCAATGAAATGAGAAATTGCAAAAGATGGTGGCTATCGACACATTGAGAGTACGAAATGTGACCACTTAACGTGTGGATTTACAATCGGGGAACGATTTGCATGTATATTTTTGTAATATAGTTATTTCGTATGGTATTTATGAGAGAGAAAAAAAAAATCCCTTTGATGTGTGACGGCTATAATAACGAAACATTTCCTCATTTTTCCCATTTTTCTAATTCCTGTTTCATTCTTCCACCTTTCTCTCTTTAATTTTCCTTTTTCCAAATGCTTACGAATCAATAGACGATTTCAATCAAATCGTATCGCCTCTGTGTTCGCACGAGCGATCGTTTAGATTCTAGTTGATTATTATAGATAGTACAGTGGTTAACTGTAGAACTGCATGACGAGATGCGATTTCAAGGCTCGAGTTTTGTGTTTCATTTCTTTCCCTTCACCCTTTCGTGTCGAAATAAAAAGAAGAAAAACGAAATGCGAAAAATGCTAGATACGTCGCGCGATCCGACAACGACGACTTTTTTTTTTATCAATGATCTTTTATCAATGGTCATGGTCGTATCGCATTGAACACGCATACCTGCTTTTGTGAAATATTGTATGATATGTGTCACGTGTTATTACAAACATGTAATTTTATATTATCGAGAATAAATGTTTATTATAGCGATAAAAATTGCTTGCACTGCCTCGATTTCCTGTCGGACGCATCCTATTTAGAGGAGCACTGAATGAATTACACGGTGGTTTAACCGTCTGATTGTGGCGAATGAAAAGGCGATCTCTTCCACAGTGGGAACTCTCCAATGATCCGTCGCCAGGATATATTTAGAGCCTTTGATGCTCGTTAAAGAACGAGCAGAGAATCTCGCTAAGCAGATAAAAAGAGTCTGATGACGTCGAAAAGTAAGAAGTTAAAGGTCGTCGAACGTTCGAAGCTTCGAGATACACGTTTCTGGCGGACTCTATATTTATTAAACATTCTCGCAGTTTTTTGTTTTTATCATAGAGCAATTGCTCTAACAAAGTCAAATGAAAATAAATATCAAAGAATCTGTTTATTCAAAATAATCTCTTTTCGTTTATAGCAGAATAATTAAATGGTAGGGTGAAAATAAAATTGTTATTCTATTCTCCATAAAAACTATATTTCATAAATGTACAAAGATTTCAAGACTGTCATAAAATTGGTGCAACAACTTTTAGGTATTATAAATCAATAAGTTTATTTTTCACCCTTTTTTTTCATATTTGCGTTTTAAAGTAAGTCTAAGCAAGAGACACAAGGATCGAATTTATTGTAAGAAATAAATTTCGGCGCTGGTCTCTTGCTAGAATATAATCTGTACTCACAGCACAACAGACAAACTAGTCTTTCTAGAATTCACCTCTCAGATTCTCATCTAACAATACGTACATATTTTACAGAAAAATGTTCCAAGGATCGTTGACACTTTCGACGAACTTTCACTCTCTTACACGTGCTGAAACACACACGAAACTCCATCAACAGCATCACCATGAGAATCAGAGCCACAGAATTCACGAGTGCTACGCTACAAACGAAATAACAGTATAATTATACGTGCACACTGGTAGCTTGTATATCCGTTCCGGCGCACCCTGTTTCCTTCGAAGCAATTAATTCTAGGCCGAGTTGCGTAACGTGCCAGTGAAAAACCAGCGGTCAAAGGGAGACGAGACGGTGGCTGGAACTGCGTTGCAGCTCGTCACGGTGAATTGAATTACTCAGTCACCTGTCAACACGCTTTATCAGTTTCAGTAATTCGAGCAACGTCCCTCTATTAATAGGCGAGCTGTGGCGCGCGTGCATCGCACGGGGATGAATCGCGACGACGTGACATCGCGTTTCTGCGATTTTGATAAATCGTACGTCATGTTCCCAGTCGCGTTACAACGGACAGACAGACAAAAGTGGACAGTTGAAGGTTTGTCATATTGATAATTGCGTTTGTCGATGATGATTTCGTTCTGCGAGGTTTGTAACTGAAGAAGAAAATTGGATAATGTATTTCTAGTTGAGTATTAAAAAATTGCGAGATAAGGGGTTGTTGAAATAATTAGAGTCTTTTTCTTCTGTAATGTGGTGTGATTCAAAAATATTTCGATTTCGAGGCCTTATAAATATTATCGTATTCCTCGAATTTTGTTTTTCATTTTTACGTGGAGAAGAGTGTCAGAGTTATTTCGACTGAAACTTCGTATAACTCTTTTATTTTTATCAATTTTATGATCGAAAAAATTCAAGCGAAAGTTTCCAAACATCTGACCTCGTATTTAGAGTGATCTAGAAATTCTGTTTCATCTGATCCCGAGGAAAAAGATTCGGGATGATTATGAGATTTAAAAAAAAAGTTATGACAAAACTGGTGGATGAGTTTATCAGTGTCAAAAATTCAAACATGAGTCAAGGATTTTAAATAAAAATTCGAATTCCAATCCGAGTCCAAAATTCTGCTACTCTGTTGATACCGTTATGGGATACCTGCGTGTAAGACACGCGTGTCTTTCTCAATTCGTTAAACACAGACAATACGAACCATCGAATTGGAGCGTAGCATTTCTAACTACCTAGATCTTTGCCGACTATAAAATTTATATTTACCCGTTGAGTGGATAATTGATTCGATGTAATAACCTCACGTAACCGTAAATCACTCAGGTTCTTCCCGGTAACCCAGAAAACCACTTCACGATCCTCCACAATACAAAGATTGTCCTTAATTTTCTTAAAACCACGATTTCTTTTCTTGCCGTGAGCGAACAACAGCACGCGAAGTCTAGATTAGGGAATAAGAAGTCTCCGTTCCAGTTATACCAGTGCAATTTCATGATAATTTTCGACTTTGTCAATGCTAGAGTAATACTCGTTTAGAAAAACTGTCGATTTACTTCTTTGCTAGTCTGATATGTTACAAAATTATTCTTACCTATAATAGGAATGATCTTATCAGTGTGATTAATTTGAATTTATTGATTCTGCCTTAATTTTTTAATACTATAAACTGTCTGTAAGATCGCTCCACAATTTTTATTTATTTTGTATTGTTCATCCTGCTGTGTAATTACGATTGGAATTCTCTTTACAAAAAAAAAAAATTAGTGAAATAAATTAAAAAATTTACTGAATTAGTAAGATAAAAATAATTTGATCTTTATTTAACACTTGTACGTATTAACGTGATAAATGTTGTAATAGCGATTTGTGAGGCCTTCTATAGCAGTTGTATAAGGACATTAATATTTCAAAAAGTTTCTACAATATTTAAGAGTTAATTCGCGCTGGTACACTAGACGTCAGGAATCAGAAACAAAATTACTTTTCCGATGGAAACGATAAAATGATTCGACCTTCAGATAACAAATATTTCACGAGCGGGTTTGAATTATAGATGATGGAGTTATCAGATATATATACCGAAGTATGTATTCTATTCATCATCGCGGGCAAAATCACCACCTGACGTGTTTCTTTTATTTCTGTTTCACCTGGTTTCTAATTACTCTTCCGATTCCACGTAAATACCACGAAAGAGAACAAATGTAAATCTGGAAAATCGATTCAAAGAACGTACGTGGAGATTACACCGTACGCGAAAATCTGCAATAGCACGTTTTGAGATTGTTCTATGAGATTGTATGCTAAGTATGATTGAGAAGAACTAAAATTCCCAACGTGCATACCTTGTTCCATTTCAAAAATCCATTTAAACCGAAATTCGTGAACTTCCATTTAAAGATTCTTGGCGATGTTGCGAGCATCTCGCATAAAATTACGTTTCCAGGAGGAAAGGGTATAAACCAAGTAAACTGGTTTTCAATCGTTAACAGTTAATTCACGTTGAGTTGCAGCGTGATAGCTTATTTTATCGCGTTTTCACGGGGAAAAGTGCGCGAAGCCTGGCGCGAATCTCCGCTAATAATTCAGGATTCAGCGGAAGTATCAGGAGAATGCAAAAGTATCGAGCGAATAGAGTAACGATGCTTTCGTCGCAGCCGGGTCTGCGTGTGTAGTCTTGAACTTTGGTCATCGATAATCCAGTTGAAACTTTTGCAAGAAAAGTAGCGGTCGTTCGCTCTGTTATATATATATATATGTTTTACTCTAACCACAGCTGTTGTTACATGTCAAGGAACCACTAGCATGTCCCATCGCGGTCGACGAGGCTCTGGAGACCAGACTCGGTCACATTTTAAAGGTAACGTTACTTAGCTGTGACACGTTATGCACACGCTGCGCAACAGTCGTTAATTTTGCATTCCATATATTCATTGGCATATATTCGACAAATTATTTCTTCCTTTCCGTTTTATCTATTGTTCTCTTCAGCGGTGTAGATGGCACATTACGCGTTAATTGCTTATGTAAATTATCTTCCCATTCATTGAGTCATTATCATGGATATCATGATGGTTGGCTTCGCCAACTCGGAGAGTTGGCAGATATTGTGTAACGATAATATAAAATTACGCTTGCGTGTCAACTGTGAATTGTTATATACGCGAACGATCTAACGTATTATCTTGTTGTAAGTTTGAAAGGTTCCGGATGAAGTTCGTGGAATATGAATAACTCGATTACTTTCTAATCAAATTCTTTTATTTTGCGGTCTCGGTAGCGGTGTATGTGAAACGAAGCATATGATACTCATGCAGAGATTCTTTCTAATGCAATATTATCCGTGCCCGACGTGCTGTACTCTAACATGCAACAAGTTCACTCCAAATTTCAATCATCATTTGCCTGTCTGAAAAGGCATCTTGTCAATTAGGATCCACTTTTTATAAAGAAAACTGTATTAAATGTATTTGTCTTAGATTTCAATCATTCAAACAATGGCCATTGATTTTTAAAGTCCAGGATCCTCCTGCAATGAAAAACATAAATGATAAAATGAAACGAACAGCTTGATAAAATTATTACGGAACATCCGTGACGTGGAATTGTCACATATCTCAATTCACGAATTGTGCAAGAAGGTCCAAGAAACAATGTTTTTATAATAAAAATAACAAACGTTTACTAGTGCGATAAAACTAAAATAAGCGGGAATGAAGACGCGAAATCGCGAAGGTTCAACGAGGCAGTTGTTATCTAGACGATTGGTATCGCGGCGCCGGTGGTGTCTCGTTTACAGAATTCCGCGCGCTGGAGAAAAAGGATCTTCCCGAGTTCCGTCGAGCTGGCGTTTGGGCCGCGCGTGTCCCGTTTTTAATTTAGTCTACCTCGAATTGCTGACCACTGCTGACTACGCCGTCTACCAGTAGTAGGCCGGCGTCATATCCCAGTATTATCCGACGTAGGTTCACGAAGCAGAGACGGGCTCAGTCGCATGATAAACGCGGAGCAGCCACCTGGGTGAGGAGGTGAGGCTCTGGTGTGTCGGCACATCCGTCGACGCCGGTGAATCGTGCACCACGCGAACAATGTGCCCGTGAAACGGAACCGTCACCACAGCTGTTCAATTGATGCTTGTTTAGTATTGCAAAACCCGTGTTTTTCTACTCGAATCTCGATCGTCGAGTGAAACTTGTTCCCGAGGACCACACGCGGATCTAATATTTTCATCAGACAGGTGAGATGGTGTTTTGTGTGTTTCGAAGGCATGTCGAGAGACTTGATGAGAATGTGACAACGTGTAACTTTAGTGAAAT